AGCTTGGTCCAGGCTGGTATTGCTCTGTTTTTTGGGCATCATCCTGTGCACCAAAAGGTTGCCAGTTCCATTTCCCGGTCAAGGGCACATGCTTGTGTTTTGGGCTTGATCCCTGGTAGGAGGAAGTGTGCAGGATGCAGCAGATCAATGTTACTCTCTCACATCAATGTTTCTCTCTTTCTCTCCCTCTCCCTCCATCTCTCTCCAAAACTCAATAAACTATTCTTTAAAAAATATCTAAAAAATAAAATGATTATGCTAACCTAATTGTACATGTCTACAGCACCCAGCGTCATTTTGCTCTCACAAAGGCCAGGAGAAGACTGAAAGCTCTGAATAGGGTCTTGGCTGTGCTGTTCCCACACTGCCTCCCATGGTGCGGGATGGGCACCACAGAAACTGTCCCTTCTGAGTGAAGAGAGGGCCAGGGCGGAGCTTCTCCTTCACTGTCTCCACTCCACTGTGAGGCACCCATGGCTCTGGGAGGAACTGAGAAACACAGCCATCCTAACCAAAAGCGATGAGCTTAAAACAAGAAAAACACACACACAGGACACCCCATGCTTTATTGTGCGGCATCACTTCAAATACAATGGAACCCTCATTCCTTACTTCTGTCCTAATCAACTGAAACGCCTGCTCACGTGTGGCTTTTCCCGCCGGTAAACTCAATGGAACACAGCATTGAGGAAGGTCAGCAGGCAAGCAGGAGGGTCAAAATCCGACCTTGCTGCTCAGGTAGTAAAGAGGGAAACTCATCCGGCCACAAGGGGGAAAGCAGCAGGGGTGGGGACCAGGTGCCCATCCCTAGGAAAGCTGGCTCCAGCTGGAAGGAGCCCCAGGCAGTGAGTCCCTCCCAGGGGACTGTGGGGGCAGCGGAGGGCGGAGGTACCCCAAAGAGAAGAAATTTGCTGTTTCTTACCTTGGGCCATCTCTGGGGCGCTGATGTTCTTCCGGTGATAGCCCTTGAGGGCTAAGGAATTCAACCTCTTAGACTTCGGGGTAGCCGGCACTGTTTCTACTGTCCCTGTGTCCTCGGCAGCCTCTTCATGAACCTTAGACTTACACTTTGACTTAACGTGCCTGGAGCCCCCATCCAGCTCGGAGCTGGGTCCGGGGGTGGGTCTGGGTCCTGGAGCCCCATCCAGCTCAGAGCTGGGTACGGGGGTAGGTCTGGGTCCTGGGGGAACCCCATCCAGCTCGGAGCTGGATACGGGGGTGGGTCTGGGTCCGGGTATGGGGATAGGGCTGGGGCTGGAACTGAGGCTGTCGCTGCCCTTGTCACTGGGCTTCAGACAGCAAGTGTGCCAGTTGCCCATGGTTCACCTCCTCTCCTCCCTGGTGTTGCTGATTCGCTCACACCCCGCTCCCCTCCTCCCCCCACCCACAACCCTCAGCAGTCCCTCCCCCCAAGGAAGGCTAGGCCTGCAGGCAGCCCCAAGGCTTCACCGCACAAGCAGGTAGGGCTCACCCACTGTTTGCTTGGCCTCTGGGCTGCCTGGCCCTAGGTGGGGCTCAGGGCCCAGCCCCCCACAACCCCCCCTCGAAACTGCACCTCTCTGGATGACTCGTTTGTGAGGACAGCAACCAACACGACTTGTTGAAAACGGATCGGGATCCGACAAGCGCTGAGAGCTACAACCACAGTGGGAAGAGAGCACAGCCAAAGCTCCTTCTCCTGCCACAGTTGCTTCTCAACTGAAGTCAGTTGTGCTGGCTGCTGCCAGCCAATCAGAACACGTTCCGCAGTTACCTGGTTACAAGGGACCAATCACACCCAGAGTTCCAGCATGGTAAATGCAGGAACCCACAAAGAAGTCAGGGATTTATAATCCTTCCTCTTGACTTGGGTTTTTATTCATTGGGTGCATCCTGGAGCTCTCCACTCCTGAGGGAAGTGCAAGCAGGCCAGAGTCATTAGGTCCTGGGTTTCCCAGGTCTGACAGCCGACTCATTGATGCATTGCTCTCTGGACTTATTTACACCTTCATCGTTGACCATTTTTGTAACTAAATTCTCCTTCTCTATCTACATGTTAGCTTTTGCCTGCACCTTGCCCTGGTCCTCCTCTCAGTAAAGAGCTATGACTGTGTGTCTTAAATGGGACTCAAGGAAGCATCACCCCTCTCCTTCCTCATAAGTAAAATAGGAACCAATTCATCCATCCCAGCTCAGCCACACAGGGCTTCACCAGTTTGCTTTCCTCCCTCTGGTTTTCCCTCCCATGACAGGAGTTTCCTGATCCCCTCTCACCTCCCGCTACCCGCCCCAATAACAATGGTTAAAACTCAACTGTCACATACACAATTGAGAACCACAAAGAAGGGTACCACAATCCTGGTTTGGTGAAGATGATGGTAATGATAGCTAACATTTGACAAGCACTTACGATATGCCCAACCTCTTTTCAAGGGAGAGAGGTATTCATTTAAATGTCCAACACAATCCTCAGTTTACAGATTTTATAGGAGAAATGGAGACAAAGCAATAAAGCCACACTTTCAGGTAAACATGATTATTCAAAGACAAGGCCACATCCTATGGATGCCCACAGGCACTTCCTCATGTTTATCAGAAAATAATGGCAGAAGTAAAACATGGGAGGTAGTGACATTATGTCAGGAAATTGTTAAGGAAGAACAATTTTGTTGTTGTTGTTGTGGATTTTTAATATATTTTTCTTCATTCAACATTAAGTCTCTTCAATATGCCAGGCTCTGTATGTGTGAAACACTTGTGCACTCACTGAGGCCTGAGGGAGGACACATTTTTCATGGACACAAAGAGAGAACCAATTCCACAGGAATTGTCCTATGCAGTTGGATATTAGCTCCCTTCCAGAACTTTCTTGATCTTAAAAGCTCACCCAACATTGCAGGGGCTGACTGGCATGAGTGAGCTCCCTGTGACTCAAGGGAACCCAGTAGAGCTGAGATTGTCATTGGTCAAGGAGACTGCAGAGGCTGATGGGGGTGTTGGGGCTCAGTCCATCTGGGCTGTCTCTGAGGAAGACCCCTTTTCTGTGTCCTCATCCCCTGCTGACTGTTTCACAAGGATTTTTGCCCCCATCTCACCTTGGTCCATTAGAGCTTCCTCTGTGGGCACAGGAAGGTTCAGCCCAGACCTCTCTATGGCTTCTCTAAAGAAACTCAAGCAGCAGAACTAGCTACTGCGCCACCTGCCCCTAGGTTCCTGTGGATGCATGTGGAGTAGTGGTTAGGAGGAGCTCAGTCCAAGCCACAGAGAGGAGGGACCTGGGCAGGGACACTCAGCCTGTCCCTTCTCTCTCTGATCTTCAGACCACATTTGATATTATTCCTGGTGCATTTTCTGATTTTCTCTTCGACTTGAAGGACTCCTGGGCTGAGTTCTTTGCATTACAGGCCAGAGGACCCCTGGTTCAGCCATCTCTAGGCTGGGTCACAGTGGGTTTCCCTAGGCCTGGGGTAAAAAGAGAGCAAAAGACGGCCTGAAATATGAACTCCAGAACCCAGGGAGGCCCTGTGGCCCCAGTCTGTCGCTGAGGGAGGTGCTGGGCCAAGGTGGGAGGCCTCACTGTGGAAGAAAGGGCACTGTAGGTTGTCTGTACCCAACCCCAGCCCCATTCTAGACCAAACCACTGAGCTAACTATTCACCCCAGGCCTTCAGCGCTCACTGAGTCTCCTGCTGGGTGAGAACCAAATCATCTTATTCCCAAGCATCCCTCCTAGTCACGTGACGTCTGTTGCTCAAATCTGAGAGGCATTTCCATGTTATATAGGACACAAGGATGAGCCCAGAGAGGGAGACCCCCACCTCGGCCTGACTCACAAGCAACTTGTTGGGAGTGGGTCAAGAAATGGTGGTCTGGACCCCTCCAGGGTCAGTTCCAGGTCCTGGAGGAGAGCCCAGGAGTAAACTAAGGGGGCAGGACTTTTAGTTTCTTAGCTATGCAGCGCTTTCCCGAGCAAGCATCAGAGGCTGAGCTAAACTTGGCCTGGAACGTGCTGGAGCCAGAGACTGAGTGAATGCCTCACAGCACAGGGCCTAGCC